GCCGCGCACACGTGCTCACCCCACAACCACAGGAGATGTACGCGTGTGCAGATGTGGTGGCGACGGCACAGAGTGTGCACATCTACATTGTGTGCGCGCAGGCGCGTGTCATCAACGACGTGCCCCACATAGGAGAGCTCGAGCGGGGGCGAGGCGCTCATCACAGATATGCCCGCCCCAGTCTGCGCGCATCTCAAGAAGAACACAAACCATATTGTCCACACGCGCGGCGCGAACGTGCGTGTATTTTTGAGAGAGAGAGGAGCGAGGGGGATAGCGTGCGTCGGGTGTGTGTGTGTGTGTGTGTGTGTGTGTGTGTGTGTGTGTGTGTGTGTGTGTGTGTGTGCTTGCGTTCTGTCTGACTGCTCCAGTAAACAACCTCATGCACACACTCACGCACACGCAGGTGCCATGCTGCCATCATCTCCCGCGAGCTTGGCGTGCCCTGTGTCGTCGGCTGTCAAACCGCCACGGAGCAGGTTCCAAACGGCGAAATGGTCACAGTCGACTGCTCAGGTAAGCTGCCGTTGTGTTCTTGTGTATTCTTGTGTATGTGTGTGTCTGTGTCTGTGTCTATCTGTCTGTCTGTTGGGCGAAATGGAGTTTGCGACAGGCACACACCGCATGTCTCCCTTTGACTCCTTGTCCTTGTGCGCGCACTTCAGGCGGTGAGACGGGTCACGTGGTCCGCGGAGAGCGAAAGTTTGTGGTGCACGAAACGGACATCACAACGGTATCAATATTTGGCGTGGAAGCAATGGCGCAGTTCCCGATCATGTGCATGTTGTTGTGTCTGTCAGCCGAATGGCGCCGTCGTGTGTGTGTGTGTGTGTGTGTGTGTTTGTGTGTGTGTGTGTGTGTGTGTTTGTTTGTGTGTTTGTTTGTTTGTGTTTGTTTGTTTGTTGATCTGCGTTTACATGGTCATGTATCTTTCCACGTCTCAGCTTGTTCTCGCTCGCTGGCTCATCCCCACCCTGTGAATCTCGCACACACACGGGTCTTGTCATCGGTGACAGATTCCCAAGACCAAGACCAAGACGATGCTCATTCTTGGCAACCCAGACCTTGCGTTCGACCTCAGCTTCACCCCAGCACAGGGCGTGGGCCTCGTTCGCATGGAGTTCATGGTTCGTTGCGTGTGTGCAAGAGTGCAAGAGAGACAGTGCGTGTGTGTGATGTGTGTCTGTGCGAGCGCACGCACGTGAAGCGGCCTTTGACTGTTCTTGTGTGCTAGTGTATGCTCTGTGTTTTGCTTTCTCACGTGACATGAATGCACAATCCACCACGCTGTTGCTTCCCGTTGTTCAGATCATGAACCACATCAAGGTGCACCCGCTCGCCCTCCTCGACATGGATGTGCTCACGCCAGAAGAGGTATGGGGGCTTTGCTGACGGGCTGCTGTTTCATCACACCTTTGTCATTTGTGCAAGGCTGCTCACAAACCAAAACCTGCTCACTTTCATTTCATTCACACGCATACACACCTTCACATCCACACATCCCCCCCCCATCTTCAACTGGCAGCGCGTTGAGGTAAAGCAGCTGATCCAGGGGTACGACGACCCGAGCGAGTTCTTTGTGTCGCATTTGGCCGAGGGCATTGCCTCCATCGCCGCCGCATTCCACCCGCATGACGTCATCCTCAGATTCTCAGACTTCAAGGTCTCCGCACCAAGTGCTGCTGCACAAGCAAGCACGCTTCTGATGTGTCGTGATTTGGTGTATGTGTGTGTGGTTGGTGTGTGTGTGTGTGTGTGTGTGTGTTATGGTGCGCTTGTTTTGCACGCTTCCTGCTCCTTTCCAGAACGTGCGCCGGTTTACAAGCCTGCCACTCACACCTGTGCACCGACATCGATTCCTCCTTTCAAACACACACACACACACACACACACACACACACACACACACACACACACACACACACACACACACACACACACACACACACACACACACACACACACACACACACACACACACAGAACAGTCTCCGACATCATAAATTTTGTTGTGCGTCATCAACGACTATCGCCGCCAACACCAAAGCAACCAAAGCAAACAACCACAGCGCCTTGTTTGTGTCCATCGTGTGTGCGGTGTTGGATGGATGGTGGCTTTCATTGCCGCAGTCTCAACGCTCTTGGTCCTGGTGAGCACGCGCACACGCCAGGAAGAGCCGCACACGCTTGTTTGATCGAGGGCATACCGTCTGCTTTCTGCGTGGCTGTTTGTGTGCATGTTTGTGTGTGTGGAGGAGGATGCACGACGCTTGTTGTGATTGTTGATTGAGCGTGTCCTGCACGAGTAAGCTTCCCAGAGCTGGAGTATAGATAGAGAGAGAGTGTGTGTGTGTGTGTGTGTGTTTGCGTGTGTTTGTGCCACAAAGTTATGTTTCATGATCGCTTGTTGCCTCTTCTCCCACCTAGGTATTCCGGTGGCTCAAACACATGGCCGAAGGACTCCTGTCCGCCTTCCTTGGGGTGTGTATGATGTCGTGCGGAGTGTGTGTGTGTGTGTGTGTGTCGTGTGTCTGTGTGACTGTGTGTGTTGTGTGTGTGTTGTGTGTGTTGTGTGTTGTGTGTGTGTGTGTGTGTGAGCGTGCGTCTGTCTGAACCTGTATCCGTGCGTCTGTCTGAACCTGTATCCGTGCTGGTTCGTTCTTCACTCTGCGTTGGCTGTGAGTTGCGTGCCCGACACCGCTTCTGGCGTTACACAGCATCCCACCCACCACGCCCCACGTGACTCACGCACATACCCACACGCGCGCGTGCGCATTGCACCACGGATGCCGCTGTGCAGGGCGTAAGTGAACCAGGGGCCATCACGGTGCTTGGTCGCCGCTATGATGCGACACAGGAGTCGGACGACCTCAAGGCCCACATTCGCCGGCTGGTCTGGCTCACATACCGCAAAGGCTACGATCCCATCCATGGTGTGTGAGTGGCTGTGTGTGGCTGTGTGTGGCTGTGTCTGTGTGTTATCTGGCTTGTCTGTGTGGATAACCATCGCCAAACACCACCTTTCAAATGCTCGCTTTTTCCGCTGTTGTCTCCAAGTACCACACGCACTCTCCTAATCCCATTTCAACACGCTCACACACACACACACTCACACTCACACACACACACACACACACACACACACACTTTCACCCTCGCAGGTGATGCGCAGTTGACGAGTGATACGGGGTGGGGGTGCACGTACAGGTCTGGCCAGATGCTGCTGGCGCAGGCGCTCATGAGCAACGCAGAGCCGTCTGCCCGCATGCAGCGGCTGGAGGGCGTGCGCCCGTCCACGTGGCAGCACGAGGAAACAAAACGGGCGGTGCTGTCCATGTTCCAGGACTCGCACGACCCGGCCGCCTTCTTCTCCATCCAGCACATGGCCGAGACCTCGTTTGTTGTCCGCAAGAAACCGGGGCAGTGGCTCTCCCCAAGCGAAGTCGCACTCATCATCAGGTGTGTGTATGTATGTATGTGTGCGTGTGTGTGCGCGCGTGTATGTGTATGTGTATGTGTATGTGTATGTGTGTGTGTGCGTGTGTCTGTGTGTCAGTGTCTGTGTGTCTGACTCTCTGTGTGCGCGTGCACGCTGCTCACACGTACGGTGATCGCCAACTCTATTTGCTCCCCTATCTCCCTCCCTCCCTCCCTCGCTGCACCGCCACCTCCAGGCGCCTCAACCCACCGGAAACAGGAATGCGCGTCCGCATCGTCAACGACACGCTCCTCTCAACGCGACGCATCCGTTAGTCGCTGCAGCCAACGCCATGGGCTGTGTCTTGTCTCTGTGATTGTGTGTGTGGGTGTGGGTGTGGGTGTGGGTGTCTGTGTGATTATGTCTACGTGTGGGTGTGTGGGTGTGTGATTGTGTCTTTGTGTATGTGTGTGCGATTGTGTGTGTACATGAGAGACTAAGATTCGCGGTAACAGCACATGTCAGCAACAACAACAACCCAACCTGACGAGCTTACGCTTCGCACACGTGTGCACCCCCTCGCCCCTTCCTCTTCAGTGGCTGGAGAGCCGTGGATGCCGACGCTGCTGATGATTCCTCTTCGCGCAGGTCTCGACACGCTCCAGCCAGAATCAGTGCCCGCTTTCGTGGTACGCTGCCGTTCTCGTTGCTGCTGCTGCTTTTGCTGTTGTTCCTGTTGTTATTCCTGGTGATGGTAATTGTGATGGTGGTGGCTTTCGTGTCCTGTCACACACACACACACACACACACACACACACACACACACACACACACACACACACACACACATCGGCCTCCTCCTCCTCCTTCTTCTTCTGCTGATAATATTCGGACCTCGCACTTGCGCATTCGCGTTTTCGCCATGCCTGCTCCACTCACCAACAACCAACCAACCGATTGCTGTTAGGCGTTCTTTGACTGGCCGTGGTGCGTTGGTGCCATTGGCGGCAAGCCCGGCTCTGCATACTACTACGTGGGCATTGACCATGACAGTGAGTCCCACACACGCACACACACACACACACATGCACACACACGCACGTTGCACATTGACGTCGTTCGAATCGCACTTACACACACGCACAACACGCACAACTCGCACACTCTCTCATACACTCGCGTGCCGTACTTTTCGTTGCATCAGGACGGCGCGTGCTGTATTTGGATCCGCACACAACGCGATCACGCCTCGACCTCTCCAACCAGGCCGCTGAAAAGGTGGGCTGTGATGTGTGTGGGGGGATTGTGTGTGTACGTGTGTGTATGTGTGTGCGTGTGTGTTTGTCTGTCTGTCTATCTGTCTGTCCGCCTGTGCGTAGCACTGGCCCCTTGTGTCATTCGCCGCTTTTCTGACACACACACACACGAAAACGCATACCAATGAACCCTAGACTTGCGTTCCGGACAAACTCAAGTCCATGGACATGTCGAAATCCTGCTCCTCCATCTGCGTGGTGCGCATGTGCACATGTGTGTCATGTTTGCGTCATGTGCTGCGCTTGTTCCTTGCATGCAACTCGCCTTGTTCGTTTGTCTGGTTCTTTTGCCGTGTCCTCTTTCCTGCAACTGCTTGTTCTTACACCATGCATCTGTACCACGGTGTGTGCGTGTGTGTGCAGGGTTTGTTTCTTCCAGAGCTCCGCGACCTGACAGAACTCGTGCAACGCTACAAGAGGGTGTGTGTGTGTGTGCGTGTGTGTGTGTGTGTGTGTGTGCTTGCTTGCTTGCGTGGTCCTGGAGTTGGCTGTGACCCATTGTGCCTTTCCTCTGCAGCCATATAAGTGCGAGCACAGGCGGTTCACTCATCACCAAGACATTTCGTCGCTCCCTGTTGCCCAATGCTTCAACCACGACCTCAACTCACCGGCCCTCGGCTGCTCTGTGTGTATTTTGTGTGCGTGTGTCTATTGTGTGTGTGTGTGTGCCTGTGTATTTTGTGCCTGTGTATTTTGTGTGTGTGTGTGTGTGTGTGCCTGTGTATTTTGTGTGTGTGTGTGTGCAGGAACAATTGTCCGGCATGTGGAGCACCCCACTCTTCCACGTAGTCAACGACGCCGGCCTGTCGATATCAGAAGGTGATATTGGCTGACAATGCACTCGACGAGCAATGCTTTGCTTTTTTTTTTTTTTGGCTCACACACCCACAAACAAAGTCTCACTCACTCACTCACTCACTCACTCACTCACGCACGCACGCACGCACGCACGCACTCACTCACTCACTCACTCACTCACTTGTACACGTTTACGCCCACACATGCAACACCAGAGCCCCACATGGATGGGTCTGTGGTTGAGACGACATTCAGCGCATCGACAGACATGCGTGCGCGCGGGCCGCCAAGTGTGCCGCGACCACGCAGGCGGCACGTGGGTACAGCACAACCCGGCCCCTCCACGGCGTCGCCGGCGTCTTCTTCATCATCGTCGGCATCGTCATCTTCCGCACATGCACGGCCCAATCTCGCCCGCCGGTTCACCGTTGCCGCTGGCCCCCTCTCCAGACGCATGCCCATGGCGGATGCCGAACTGCACTTTGCATCGCACCAACAGCAAGCACCGTCGCCACGTGCACCGCTTCGTGCAAACCACACGCGGCAGCCGCAGCCCACCACAGCAACACCAGCGTCGACCACGGCAACAGCGCCAGCAGCACCCACACACCCGGCGCCGCCAGCAGCACCGCCGTATCTGGCACAACAGCAAGAATTTACCGAGGAGGAAGATGATGAGGACGGCTTTGTCGTAATTGACTATGCACCGCCAGAGTCGTGACGTGATCGACACGGGCGACGGGCGCTTGTGCATGTGTGTGCTAGTGTGGGTGTGAAAGTTAACGCGTGGTGCACATGCAGGTTTGATGGAGGACAGGAAGTGTGAGTAAGAATGGTGATTGTGTGTGGTGGTAAAGGCAAAGCGGTGTGATTACGGCACGCGCTGTGTGCTATGACTGCTACGTCCCTTGATGAATAATGTCATCGTCGTCGACATCACCATCTGTCGTTGTTTTCTTGTCTTTCATTGTCCAGCGACGTACTCTCGAATTACACGACCTGAGATTTTTTCAAACAGAGTGATGATTGGCTTGGATAGATCATCATCATCAACACACACACACACACACACACACACACACACACACACACACACACACACACACACACACACACACACACACACACACACACACACACACACACACGCACACACCACACACCACACACACACGCGCGCGCGCGCGCACGCACACACACGCACGCAACAATGGCCCGCCAAATCGTTGCACGCAACAGCACAATTTGTGCCCACCCTCCAAGTATGATCCATTTTTTATGCTGATTTTACCTGCATCTGTTGTATCATCACAAAGACTTTCGCAAAACGTCGTATGCGCTTATCACCCGTGCAGTCAACACAGTTCCCGCCTGCTTGCTGCTGTGGGAATTTTCAAAAGCAGATGCTTCTGCGTTTGCGCACAAGATTTCATGCCCTGCACACTGCATCAGTCTCCATTTGCATCTCTTCCTCGTTCTTGAGACTGTCTCGTGTGTGGTGGTGGTCTTGAGCGTCGGCTACCATGAGTTTGAAGTTCGTCCCAGGGCGGACCACAGCCGTCGATGTCGACAGCCTCGATGAGGTTCGTAGCACACCGCATGTGTGTGTGTGTGTGCGTTATGTTGTAGATTGGCTGTTATGTTCGCTGTCACGTCGGGGTCGTTTGCGCGCCCGAAAAGTGTGACGCGAACACGAGGGCGATGTGGCCGCAGTTCCAGATCGAGTGGTTCAACCTGCCTCAAGCTCGACACAATGTGCCATCTCCTTCATCGGCTGATACTTTCTTCACGCCACTTCTTCCCACTTACTCACAAACACATAAACACCTGTTGTGGATGTATGTTCGCGATGCAGCTGAGCGCACTTCGGTCGGCCAGTTACTACAACGCCACCCGCAACTCTGCAGCCCAGGCTGCATCGTCGTCGTCCACGGCCGCGGCAAACGGCACTGCTGCTGCCAACAACACCAGCAGCGCCCCTCAGGATGTCAAGACGACATCGTTCTCTGCCGACAAGTCAGGTGCAGCGGAGAAGCCCCAGCCGGCTAGTTCCGCCAAGCCCGTCCCAAAGGCTGCCCAGCTGGACGAAGAAGCTGAGGCCAAAGTCATGCAGATCAAGATGGTACGCAATCCGACATGTGTGTGTGTGTGTGTGTGGTGCACGTGTGTGAGTGTGTGCGGGTGTGTAACGAAACTATGGTGTGCAGTTGTGGTATGCGTGTAGTCGACAACTGCACTTCACGTGTGTGAGTCAGCCACAGCTTGCACGCCATCCCTCAGACTCAAATACCACGTACACACACATACGACATACACACACGCGCCATGCACACACACGACACACACACACATTGTCTGCTTACAAACAACAAACAACAAACAACAGTATCAGCATCAGCCGTCTCTGGAGGAGATCTTCTCCGAGTATGAGACCTCTACTGTTGGCATCAGTTCTGCCGAGGCAAAGCACAGGCTCGAGCGCGATGGCCCCAACATCCTCAAGCCACATAAGGCAACGCCAGAGTGGGTGAAGTTCCTCAAGCAGATGGTCGGTGGCTTCTCCTCCCTGCTGTGGATTGGCTCCATTCTCTGTTTCATCGCCTACGGTATCCAGTCTTCCGAGGGCAACCCGGCTCCAGACAACGTACGTGTGTGTGAGTGTGTGTGCTTTTGTGCGGATATTTGCGTGTGTGTGTGTGTGTGTGTGACCACGTGCAAACGATGTGCGTTGCTTGTGTAGAGGTCCGCGATTGAATACTGCAATCTCACATGTGCTGTTCCACATCGACAGCTTTTCCTTGGCGTCGTCCTCTCTGGCGTCGTCGTCATCACCGGTGTCTTCTCCTACTTCCAGGCACGTTGTCGATGACACTGCAACACATTGCATCCCTTGCATCTTCATGCGCTGAGGACGGGTGTTGGAAATGTTGTTGAGGCACACACCCTTTGTCCCGCTTCAAACACGCACACTCACAACACACAAAAACACACCCACCATTCCTGATTACAGGAGAGCAAGTCGTCCTCTGTGGTGAAGAAGTTCTCCAAGCTAGTGCCGCAGAAATGCAACGTGTGGCGTGATGGAAAGCTCATGACGGATGTTGACGCTGCGACGCTTGTTGTGGGCGACGTTGTCGACATCAAGTACGGCAACAAGGTCCCCGCTGATATCCGCATTCTCGAGGCGTCCAACCTGAAGGTTCGACATCTCCCAGCAACATCAAACAAATGCTGATCTACAAAACACGACTCTTTTGTTTTTTCTTCACGTCGAGTGTCATGGCCAATTCATCACAATGCCCAACATGGCGGTGATGGCTTACACACGTGCATTGCCACAACCAATCCCTTATGTCTGTCTGTCTGTCTGTGTGTGGCTCACTCACTCTCTTACCCACAGACTCTTAAAACCACACACAACCTCACTCACTCTCACACACACACACACACACGCACTCTATCACACACACACACACACACACACACACACACAAACACACACACTCTCCCTTTCTTACTCACTCACGTGAGCGCAGGTGGACAACTCGTCTCTAACTGGTGAGTCCGAGCCCCAGAAGCGTAGCCCTGAGTGCACGCATGAGGACTTCCGTGAGACGCAGAACCTCGCCTTCTTCACCACCGATATCCTGGTCGGCTCCGGCAAGGGTCTTGTTGTTGCCACGGGCGATAACACCTACATTGGCCGCATCAAGCAGCTCGTCGCTGAGACGGACAATGACGGTGCGTTCAGATGTCAGAAATATGCGCAAGCGCATGTGTGGATCGTGTACGCGAGTCCTGCGTGAGCGTAGGGCGTTCGTGGTGGACTCCAGAGCGTGGCAGGCTTTATGGATGTCTCGAATGCATGCATGTGTCTCATCGCGCGTGCCTCAGTGCTCCTTTACGCACAACTCACAACACCACTTTGCCTCCGTGCCTTTTTTTTTCTGTCACTGCACGTTGCTGCTTCCAAACTGTGTCTCCTCCTGCAGAGACGCCCATTGCCAAGGAGATCCATCACTTCATCATGCTCATCACCTCCGTCGCCGTTGTTCTTGGCGTGACCTTCTTCATCCTGGCCTTTGTTTTTGGCTACTTCTGGCTGGACGCCGTCATCTTCCTCATTGGCATCATCGTCGCCAACGTGCCCGAGGGTCTCCTGGCCACGGTGACGGTGTCACTCACGCTGACGGCGCTGCGCATGGCGGACAAGAACGTGCTTGTGAAGCAGCTGGAGTCTGTCGAGACGCTCGGCTCCACCTCCACCATCTGCTCTGACAAGACCGGTACGCTGACCCAGAACAAGATGACCGTGGCGCACGTGTTCTACGACGGCGAGATCAAGAACCTTGGCGTGCTCGAGCGCGACATCACCTTCAAGCCCGAGGACCCGTCCTTCCGCGCCCTGTGGGTCATTGGCCAGCTCTGCAACACCGCCACCTTTGTCTACGACGAGGACTCCACCAAGGATATGCCCTTCCAGCAGCGGTGCGTGCGTTTTGGGATGCACGTGCTTGTGTTGATGTGGCCTGTGCATCTGATTTCTGAACAGGCCTTCGCGAGCTTTGCATGTCCTCACAACGCAACCTGCATTTCAGCGTTGTACCTCACCTCAAACGCGTTGCTTTCCTCAAAGACGTTTCCTTCCTTCTTGTCTCACTTAATAATCTTTTCTCTCTCTCTCTGTCTCCCACTCCCACCCACGCACACACACAACACCTCTGCACATACAACAACACGTACACACACACTCACACTCACACTCACACTCACACGCACACACACACCTCTGCACATACAACAACACGTACACACACACACACACTCTCTCTCTCTCTCTCTGTGTGTTGTGGTTGTCGGTCTCTTTTTCGCGCTGACATGACAGCAAGACGAACGGTGATGCGTCCGAGTCTGCCATCCTCAAGTTCTGCGATGCTGTTGGTGCTGAGAACACTTCCAAGGGCTACGAGGAGAGCCCTGCTTACCGCGAGAAGAACACCAAGGTGCTCAACATCCCCTTCAACTCGAGCAACAAGTTTGCTGGTTCCGTGCACAAGACCGCCGATGGCCGCGAGGACGGCAAGCTGCTGTTTGTCATGAAGGGCGCACCCGAGCGCATCATTGCCCGCTGCAGCAAGATGCTCATTGACGGCAAGGAGGTTCCCTTCACGGACGACCTGCGCAAGAAATACGATCTCGGCTATGAGGATCTGGGCCGCAACGGCGAGCGCGTGCTCGGCTTTGCCCACACCTACCTGCCCAAGGACAAGTACCCTCAGGACTTTGAGTTTGAGGCTGAGGAGCCGTTCAACGGTCTGCTTGACCTGCACGACATGACCTTTGTTGGTCTGATGGCCCTGATTGACCCGCCCCGCGAGGCCGTCCCCAGCGCCGTCGCCAACTGCCAGAGCGCCGGTATCCAGGTCATCATGGTCACCGGCGACCACCCCATCACCGCCAAGGTACTTGTGTGTGTGTGTGTGTGTGTGCGTGTGTATGAATTGCTTGCACATGTATTCCGCTCAGTGAGTGCGGCTACGACCTTCCTTCCTTCCTTGCTTTGTTTCCATCTTTGACTGACTTTTGTTTGTACCCCCGGCTGTTTCAATGTGCAACCCACCTTCCTACACGCAGGCCATTGCCCGCTCCGTGAACATCATCACGTACGACACTGCTGAGGATCTTGCTGAGCAGCGTGGTCTCACCCAGCGCGGCGGCACCAAGTTTGAGGAGCTTGACAAGCACACCCAGCAGAAGCTCCACGATGAGGCCAGGGCCCAGGGTAAGACACGGCAGAGTTGTGGTTGTGTGTGTGTGTGTGTGTGAAAGCATTGTGTTCGTACCGGAAATTGTGATCTGCTGAAGTCGCAGTACGAACGCTGATGGGACGCGATGCTTGACGTGCAATACAGTCAGCCATTTGTCCACAACTCACATTGGACACCCTTGTGCGCACATGCCTTGTCCCCTCGTCTTCTCCCCCCTCCTCTTCCTCTTCGCTCGCCTTCCTCGCGTATGTGATGCCGTGGTGGTGCAGTTGTGACCGGCAGCGAACTGCGTGATATGTCTGAGAAGGACCTTGATCGCGTGCTGCAGCACGAGCAGATTGTCTTTGCCCGTACCTCCCCCGAGCAGAAGCTGCAGATTGTGCAGGGTTGCCAGCGCCGTGGTGATGTTGTTGCCGTGACTGGCGACGGTGTGAACGACTCTCCTGCTCTCCGCGCCGCCGATATTGGTGTTGCCATGGGCATTGCCGGTCAGTCGCACAGACATGCAGTGTGTGTGAGTGTGAGAGAAAGAGGGAGAGAAGAGGGGGGTGTGTTTGTGTATATCTGTGTGAGTATGTGTGTGTGAGAGAGAGAGAGAGAGCAAGGGAAGGCGCAAGAGAAAGTTGAAGGCGTGGCAAAGAGTTGGTAAAACGTTATGTTTGACATGGGTATTCATACATCCCGGCGCACATGTTCATGTGTTTGCAGGTTCCGATGTGTCCAAGGGCGCTGCGGATATGATTCTGATGGACGATGACTTTTCGTCCATTGTAAAGGGTGTTGAGGAAGGCCGCCTCATCTTCGACAACCTGAAGAAGTCCATTGCCTACACCCTCACCTCCAACATCCCGGAGATCTCGCCCTTCCTCATCTTCATCCTGGTGCAGGTGCCGCTTCCGCTCAGCACCATCATGATCCTGGCCATTGACCTTGGTACGGATCTGTACCCGGCCATCTCCCTGGCGTACGAGCGCGCTGAGGACGACATCATGGACCGTCCACCACGTGACGCCAAGTCTGACAGGCTCGTCACGGGCCGTCTGCTGCAGATGACCTACCTGCAGATTGGCGTGATCCAGGCCCTTGCCGGCTTCTTCTGCTACTTTGTCGTCATGGGCGACTTTGGCTTCCTGCCTTCTCGCCTGCCCGGTCTCCGAGACAGCTGGGACGACGAGGACGTGGAGCAGCTCCGTGATTCTTACGGCAACGAATGGGTGTGTGTGTGTGTGTGTGTGTGTGTGTGTGTGTGGTTTGCGGTGGGGTGTGGGGGTGTCGGGAGCGTGTGACATGTATGGTAAATGCGTGGCGCATGCGTTAATGTGTGCTGCATTTTATGCTCGAGTTGTGTACATGTCGTGAAGTTGTAAACACGTTTGTTTTGTTGTAAGCTAGTCGCTGTGTCACAAGTGCTCACGTTGTGTTTTGTCACTGCTCAGACGTACAACGACCGCAAGGATGTTGAGCGCGCTGCGCAGACCTCCTACTTTGTGTCTATTGTCATTGTGCAGTGGGCTGATCTCATCATCTGCAAGACCCGCATGAACACTGTCTTCAAGCAGGGCATGAGGTGCGCGCTTATGTGTGTGTGGGTGTGAATGTGAATGTGTGTGGTTGTGGGTTGTGGGTTGTATTGGCTGTGGTGGTAGTGGTGCGAGTTGCCGGCAAGTGTGCATCCTATCTGCGTAGTTGTGTTTGCTGGCATTCAGTTGGTTGTACTTGCACGTGTACTCATCATCATCATCATCATCATCATCATCATCATCATCATCATGGTCACCACCACCACCACCACCACCACCACCACCACCACCACCACATGGCAGGAATCGCAACCTGAACTTCTCGCTTGTCTTTGAGACGTGTCTTGCGCTCTTCTTGACGTACACCCCCGGCATGAGCTCTGTGTTCCAGACGAGCCCACTTGAGTGGCAGCACTTTGGCTTCCCCGCCGTCTCCTTCAGCCTCCTCATCTTCGTGTACGACGAGACCCGCCGCTACCTCATGCGCCGCTACCGCCGCAACAACAACAACGAGCCAGGTACGTGTACGTGCATGTGCGATTGCGTGTGTGTGTGTGAATTTTGTAAATGTGTGTAGAGCTTCCCAACGCTTGTGTTTGTTGTTGTTGTTGTGTGGTTGGCTTTGGTCGTTCAAGGTTAACGCTAACCCCTCCTCTGACACGCTCCCTTGTTTGCTGGTGCATTCGATAGGCTGGATCCAGCGCGAGACGTACTGGTAGCCAACACGTCCACGACACGAGCATGACAACAGAGGCAGTGACACGACGTCGCTGCAGTTTGTTGTCTGCTGGTACCCGTTTGCTCCGACGTGTGTCAAGCACGACCGAGCAACACTGTTCCATGTAACGTATGTAGTTTTGTTGCTTCTTTCCCCCTTTCTTCAATCACCTCCGACAGCTCAGCTCAGCACAGCACACACCCATTCATCGGTTCGTGTGCACGTCTGAGATTGTTTGCGTTGTTGTACTGTTGTCTCATGTTGTCTATGTTGTCATTGTTGTGTTGTTTTTATTTCTGTGTTGGGTCTGTTTCCCAGCGCGTGCGTCACTGCATGTCTGACAACAGACGCTCCATATCCAACCCAATATACACACCCCCGTGACCAAAGCCATGCATGCTATTGCTGGTAAACAAAAGAAGAGAACACGAAAGAAAAGGGTTGAAGGGAGAGGGTGTGTGTGTGTGACGACAACAACAGCCGTTTCGCTGACGATTTTGTGCAATTTCTGAAGGACTGCTTTGTTTGGTGCAAGGCGGTGTGCGAATACGAGGCATCAACAGCAACGCCTCAGCAGTTCCTCCTCCTCCTCCTTCCTCTCCCCACACAGTGTCGTGATCGCACAGCATACAGCATCAGTGCGATGGCTTCTCGACGCATCCGGCGTCGGTCCAGCTTCTGGGGCGGACAGCCAGAGCAGGTGGAGCCAGGAACGCGCCTGGAGTCTTCTCAACAAGGCCGCGTCGCTGCTCAGATTGGCGCAACAATGAAACGCGGAGGTGTGTGTCTGTGTATGTGTGCATGAGATTGTGTGTATGTGTGTGTAAATGTGCGTACACTTGTGTAAGGCTTGAAATATGTGCGCAGGAACGTGCACGATCCTTCCATTGAGGTGCACGCGCGTTCTTGCCGTCACACACACACACACACACACACAACACACACACACACACACACACACACACACACACACACACACACCACACGCATGCACAGGTGCGCGTGTGGCGAATGGCATGGCACGTTGGTTTGGCGTGGCTGGCGACAACGAGGATGCGCGGTACCGACACTACCAATACCAGCAGCACAAGATCCAGCAGCAACAGGCCCGCCGAAATGAAGGCCAGGGCCGCCTTCGTGGAGAACAAGGACAAGGCAACCTGGAGGTGAGCGTGTGTGTGTGTGAATGCGAGTGTGAGTGTGTGTATTTGTATGCGAGTGTGTATTTGTATGCGTGTGTGTGAATGTGTATGAATGTGTATGAATGTGTGTGAGTGTGTATGTGTGTGCATGAGTGAATGTACATCCGTGAGGGTGAGTGAGTGTGCATGAGCGTTAAGTGGCCTGGCCTCATGATTTCGGACGATCATCTCGCTGGATTCCAGCAACTGAACGACATCTTGGAGTCCTCTGACGAAGACTCGGACTACGACGCAGACAAACACGGTGAGCGCATGCGCCT